AGTGCAGTATACATTATTGAACCCATCTTACTCAGTCTCTCCCCAACCCCAAGGACAGTCCCATTCTACAACAGTGGCATCATGTAATATTTGTCGGTTTTTAAAGGCAGTAAATCACATGGGAGGAGATTGCCTATGTGTCTCTCATGGAAGAACTGGTGAATTTTATCCATGAGCCTTTGGGTTGACAACCCAACTTCTTACCACTCTGTCACCAGAGCTCCATTGCTAGCTTGTTGTTGTTGTTGTTATGTGTTGTTTAGTTGCCTGAGACTCATAGAGACCCTAGGTACAACAGCTCTGAACTCTGCCTATTCTGAGCCAGTCTCACTGATTCTGACACACTTACCTCTAGTACCCCAGTTATTGTCTCAATCCAGCTCATCTGGGGTCTTCCTCTCCTGCAATCCTCCCACCCCCCATACTTCTCCAAAGACAGGTCCCTCCTGGCCATGTGCCCAAAGTATGTGAGATGGAGCTTCAAAATCCCAGCTTCTAAGGAGAAACTTGGTTTCAACCACTCTACGACAGACTTATTTATTGTCCCGGCTGTCCCTGGTATGTTCAGTACTCTTCTCCATCACCATAACCCAAATACATCAGTTTTTCCTCTGTTGTCCTTTGTCATTATATTAGTACAAGTATTTGATTAGTATTAGTAATACTTAGTCGTTAGTATTCCCATACTAATGAGTAAGGAGTTGTGCTGCCAAACCAAAACTAGGTAGTTCTAATCTATCCACTGCAGGAGAAAGATAAGATTGCTAGATTAGACCTTGAATTTTAGATGTGTTCATCAATAGGTAGTGTTTAAGATGTTATGTATATGTATATTACATGTAAACGTATGTATATTATAACAGCAATATTAGGGCTATGATGACAACAGACTTCTCTTTGGTTTCCCCACTGTTCTCTTTAAATAGTCACTTAGTAATGTGATCACAGATCATTCCCCTTTCTGCAGGCATTGCACACTAATGTGTTTGGATATAATGTCCCAGTGTTTATCTTGGATCTTGAGTTCCACATAGAATTTTAGTTCATGATTTATAATTACTTTGACGTATCTTTTATAACTTTCTGTCAAATAGATTTTAGCTCTTAAAAAGGTAGCAATACATTACCGAATTTGCAATGTGGGAGAGAATAGAATATGTGAGAGCACTTAACCTCCATCAAACCTTTATCCATTTGAACAGAGGAAGTAAATAGAGAGAAAGGGGAAGAATGGGCAGGATGTAGAATCCTTTGAATTTGCTTAGAAAGTAGGAGAGTTAGAATGAAATCAGAGGAGCCACAAATAGCTGTGTGGCCTACTTCTCTCGAGCCTCCTCTGTTTATTATCTTGAACTTTCTATTCAAAGGTAAGCAAGCCATCATCTTTCTAGTTACCCATTCAGCTTCCTAACCCCATTGACTTTTTGAACCAATGTATTCTCACTCACTCTTTCAGCTCCAGTATCTCTGATCTTCTTGTTCCTTAAAAAACATCATTTGTGATCCCTGTTACATCTTAGTACTGGCATTTTTCTGTTTAAAAAGTTATTGTACTCACAGACAAACACTTTTTCTTAATTCCGATACATCTCTGTTGAAAGGTCATTATTTCAATGGATCTACTTAGATCATTAACCATTGAGAATGAAATCCTTGCTTTGTCTTACACTGCAGTCCTAATCATGTTATTCTTCTCTATATTTTTCTGCCTGGAGAACTGATTGCCTTTTACTATGATATATTATTTGCTTATTATTTATTATAATATTCTCTCTGCTCTAATAATAGGCCACTGAGAGTAGAGATCTTTGTTTTATTCTGCTTGCTAATATATCAGAAATCAGTCTGGTGTATAGTGAGTATTCAGAATGTAGTTTCTGAAATAAATTAATTTTTATTTTCTTATTTATATCTAGATGTACTTCTTACAGCCTTCTATAATTGTGCTATTATGTTTGTACTTATAATCCTTTATCTTTTTTATTAGAAATCATTGAAACACACACTGAGTAGAAAATAATTTTATTTTCTTAATCTGAATGTATATGAAATTAATAAAGAAAATGATAAGGGAAAATTGACTTGAGAAATAAAAAATAGAAAGAATATAAAAAAAGTCAGAAAATCTACAGTGATATTCAGAGTATGCGACTTACTACTTTTCTTATTTTGAGTTAATTATTATTTTTGGAATGAGAAGTAAATGCACTATCATTTACACTATATTTAAAATAGATGATGCTGTTATGTACTGTCAATTTAGGGCTGACCCATAGCTGACCCTCCAGCAGGTATTCAGAGACAATAAATTATATGGTATCGTTTTCCCACAGAGCAACTGGTGGATTCTAACTCTATGCCTTTGGGATTGAGACATAACTTCTTACCAATATGCCACCAGAGTGCCTAAAAAAATATTAATAATAATAATATATTGTGTATTATTTTTCTTATAAGATGTACCAGTGTCACAGTGAATAATGATTGCCAATCAAATATCAGTGGTTCAAGGCGAGTTACCTTCTCTCATAAAGATTTATGGCTTGAAAATCCAATGGAGAATCCCTATCAGTTCAAATGAACTGGATGACAGTGGGTTTTGATTTTATTTTCCTTGAAAACTTTTAATGAGTCTTTTCTCCTACACATGTAATTGTTTCTTTTTATCAGCTAATCCAAAATATATAAAAATGTATAATTATGATTTTTAATTATGAAGTTAACTTGTCTGATTCACCATTTAGAATATAACCTCTATGTGGGAAAGTTATTTTCATCCAGTGTTGTATTTCCAATTCTAAACATGGCACAAATTGGTGCTTAGGGAATATGCTGTGTAACAAATACATCTGACAAATTTAAGCCCTGGGACCACAGGGCTTAAAAATAGTCAATTTATTTTAATTGACTGTTACATCAATCATGACCTCTGAGTTTGACGAATTCCCAATAAATCCTCCAGCTGACTTTCTGACAGAGGCTGTATATTTCAGAAGAGGAGATTGTCTATTTTTCTCCCTCAGAATTGCTGATGGATTTGAGTTAGTCTACCAGAGAGGTGCCACCTTTGAATTAACACCACAAATGTTTATTATTATTGTTACCATCTAGATTATTGTTGGAGATTATCAGAATTGACTCAAAAACAATAGCTCTTAAATCATTATCATACCCTCAGATACATGTTACTCTGACTTCTTCAGTCAGCTAGCAAGAGAATGACCATCTTCTTGTCTTACTTTAAAAATATACAGAGAACAGGCTTTCCTAACCTCATGATTTTGTTACAGGTCTCTAAGTTGGCTGGTGTTTTTGTTAAGCATGGCATCAAGAAGGGTGACACAGTGGTCATCTACATGCCAATGATCCCACAAGCCATGTACACCATGCTGGCATGTGCAAGGATAGGAGCCATCCACAGTCTCATATTTGGAGGATTTGCATCCAAGGAACTAAGTAGTCGCATTGATCACGCAAAGGTAGGTCTTTTATTTGTGGAGTCTCAAGTAATTACCACCTGTGCTGTGAGTTGTCAAGTCAAGTTCAAATCAAGGCAAAATTATGTATATCAGAACAAAATGTTGTCCAGTCCTGTGCCTTGTAGCCCCTTATTTATCTATTCTTGAATAATCCACAAAGGACTGATTTCTACTTGTTAGATCTTGCTTTTCAGAGGAACACTTGAAACTTTCTGTTTATTTAACATGTATCTATTAATAATTATTTTGTAAAAGATATCTTGCTAGGTATTGTGAGTAATTTTAAAATACAAAAGAGCATATATGTCTTTCAAGTCAGCTTGATATATATTTGGGCATATAGAATATACAAAGAAAAGTAATTCAGACACTCAGTGTGTAGTTAATAAGCATTCACTGTGTTCCTACCACCATCATTGGTGCTGGATAATAAATGAGACTTGTCAAATGGATGAGACACATGACTAGTTTTATAATCCATGTACTGCCAGGGGTAGTGGGACATCACAGCAGTTACGAAGGAGGGATGGCAAGGGAAGAGTCACATGTGGAAAATGTGCTACTAAAATAGCAAACGTAGAAGGCTGTTGTGAAATATCAATGAGAAATTGAAACTAAAACAGCAGAGTACCTGGCACATAGGAATCATTAAAAAATGTTAGCGGTTATTGTTCTATGAATTTAGAACAGGATTTGACAAAGAACTCCTGTAAAAGGTCAGGTAATAAATATTTTAGGCTTCGCAGTCTGCGGTGTCTACATTACAGCTACTCCCCTCTGCAATGGTGCCACAAAGGCAGCCACAGGAGATACCCAAATGAAAGGACACATTTTCCTCCAGTTAAGCTTTACATAATAAGGTTGGGGGAGACTTTTGGTTTGTAAGCCAGGGTTGGCAGATCTCTGATTTCAAGTTTTTGTTGCAAGAGAGAACTTCCTAAAGTAAGTAAGGATTGTCGTTGGGCAATATGACAATATTGAAGAGGAGAGAAGAAGGAGATGAGTCAGATGGTAAGTGTGAAAGTGTCAAGTTTGTTTGGAAGGATAGATAGTACCCCATCGTGTGACTGAAGTGGAAGAGAAGGGGACATTGCAAAGGCAGTTTTATATGAGTTGGTTTCTGTAGGCCTTGTCTGGTCAGAGTTATTGAACAGGTGAGTGTCCTGATTTAGAAATGCTAACAGAAGGCTAAGGTGTGTCTGATACAGGTCATGGTCTTTGCTGTCACCTGTATGCATCAGAGAGTTGGACAATGACTAAAGAGAATAGAAGGAGAATTGATGCCTTGAGCTGTGGTGCTGGACAAGAGCATTGAGGGTACCATGAACTACTAAGTAAACAAACAGATTCAGCCTGGAGAGGGTTAAACTGGGCGCTCTTTGGAGGCAAGGATTCTGAGGCTTCATCTAACATACTTTGGACATGTTGTAAGGAAGGACCCATCCTTGGAGAGGGCCATCATGCTTGGGAAGGTGGAGGGCCAGCCAGGAGAAGGCATTCTATGAGGTGGATTGATTCAGTGACTGGGGTAATCACAATGGATGTGTCTGAGACAGTGCGATTGGCGCAGGACAGAGTTTAGAGCTGTTGTACATAGGGGTCGCTATGAGTCACAAGCGACTTGACAGCACATAACTACAACAACAAGAGAAGGCAGATCTTGCAAGTATGATATCATTGAGGGGAAAAGGCTCTAGGCAGGAATAAGAACCTTTGTTATTTGGCCTACATGCTACGTGTAAAGCAGTGAGTGTTGTGAAGGAGTGTAATGGGATGATGAAGGAAGCAAGTTAATTATAATAGTAAGAGCTGGTTAACCTTTAGGGTTTTACAATTTCAAAGATTAAATTCTTAACAGGAAAAGCAATTAATCTTTATTGAGGATAATACGAATGCTAAAGAAAAACTTTTATATATCTTACTTTATCTGGTAATAGATAAGTTATTAGAACTAGTAGGTTGGTTTGTAAAGTTGCAGTTAGCCACTTTATGTAGCTTAAGTTGCATTTATTTATTTTCTGAAAACAGGTTAAATTAGTGTTGATGGAGGGAAATCTAGGCAGAAATCTCAAGTCAGGCTCTGATCTGTGAATCAGTAGGACAACTGGGAAGTACAGATAATGAAAGCTATAAAAGCTATCTGCTACAGAAATCTTAAACATATTTTACTTTGTTGTTGTTATGTGCCATCAATTTGCCTGAGATTCATAGTGAACTTATGTACAGCAGCCCCAAACCCTGCTCTATCCCTCGCCAATCTTACTGTCTCCAACACGCCTATCCCCATTATCCCAGTGACTGAATCAATCCACCTCATAGAAGGTCTTCCTCTCCTGTGCTGGTGCTTCACCCTCCCAGTCCTTCTCCAAGGACTGGTCCCTTATAGTGTATAGAAATTTGAGGTATTAAAAACATGAGGATGTATAAAATTTGTGCTAATGTGGCTAGATACATTACTTATATATGTATGAATTTATGCACATGTACTTGTATATATATGTACACCCACATGCAACACCATTTAAATAATTTAGGCAACAAGTGCATATTTTAATGAATTCAAGGAGGTGCAAAGAAGCAAATTTGATTTCTCTTAATAAAATAGGTAGTTAAAATCAGGGAGATTTTGATAGCATTATTTTGAAATACACAGGTTAAAAAAAAGAAATATACAGGTAGACAGAAGAAGTTCCATTTTAACAAATGAAAATGGACAGAATATATTCTAATTAATCAGTTCAGATAAAATTGAATAGACTTTATTTCAATAGAAAACTGGTAATAGGACTATAAAAGGAAGTATTTTTTCTGGAGGAATTATATAATTTTGTCTCTATTGAATTATGTCAGTCCTGATATATTTTATATTTTTTTCCACTTAATATGCAATGCCTTTTTTAAAATTGGATTTCTATGAGACTATTTTTTAAAATATAAAGATATTTCAAAAACAGCAATAACAAAAGCAAAATATCCAGTGTCATTGAGTTGGTTCTGACTCTGAACAACCCACAGAATAGAGTAAAACTTCTCGGTAGGGTTTAATGGAAGCAGACCGCCTCCCCTTATTACGGTGAACTGGCTAGTGGTTTCAAATCAGTGACCTTTTAAGCTAGCAGTGGAGCACTTTAAACACCACACCACTAAGACTTGTATGGATATTCAAATATGAATTCTATTCCAATGCCTGACCTTTAAAATATAATAAAAGGAAACAAGGCATTTTTTATTAAAATTTTTATTTCTTTCCAAAGAAGACTTTATATAGTGGAAGAGAAGAGTGTGTTCTGCCTTCACATGGGGCTTTGACCCTCTTTCTGATTCCAACATTTTTAACTCGAAGCAAATTGTACTATGGCATTGAAATTCAATTCCAGGTGTACTAAAAGATCCCCTAAAGCATCAAATACTATATACATTTGACATTTTAGAAGCATTCCTGGTATATAGTATCCAGACATCAGAATTTAGTAATAATAAATACAGTACCTTGAGTTTTACTGTCTCCTGAATATTTAATATCTCTCTCTTTTGCTTTTGATTTCTTGGTAAAGAAACAATGTACTTAAAGAAATATAAGGATGTTTGTTTTGGTGAAATAATGAGAATTTAAGCTCAGCTTCACAAATATTTATCAATAGCTAATTGTTTGACAAGCTCTGAATCACACCTAGGAGATTAAAAAAATAAATGAACCAAACCTAGACTCAGAGAATTTGCTGTGCAATAGTAGAGGAGATTGAATATTTTGAAAGTACTTGGATATTTGAGACATAATAAAAAGGTACCAAATAAGGGAATTAGTGCAGGGTAGATGTTTTTTACATTACAAGACACTGTGCTCCATCTTAAAATATGACTAGGAAATTATCAAGTGAAGAACTAGACATATATATTGCAAATTCAGGTCTATTCTCCCCTGAGATCCCTTTAGTAATTTTTCTAGAGATGCTGATATAAAAACTATAAATGCTTACTGATGGCTTTTTATCTGCCCCTCTATGCATAAAATGTTACTGTTGTTGTGTGCTGTGTGTCTAGTTGGAACAGACTCATAGCTGACCCTCCAGCAGGTTTTCAGAAACAGTAAATTGCATGGGAGGAGATTGTCCATCCTTCCCCCACAGTGCAGCTGGTAGATTTGAACCAAGCCTTCGGGGTAGCAGCATTTTCTTACCACTAGGCCATGAGGGCTCCCTAAAAGGTTATTACCTTAGCAAAAATCAAATATTTGGGGGACTTAATCAAGTGAGGGGCCCTGGGACTTGTGTAGGTATCACTAGCTCATGCCATTTTGTCTTAACAAATTCTTTGACAGGTATTTTTATACAGCTCATGCTTATGAACCCAACTCTGAATGTAAAAATTTGAGCAGGTAAGTGAGATTCATGTGGAAATGGTTAGCTATGCAAAATTTCAGAGGCTTGCTAATTTTCAGGTCCTTTATGAAATGGATTAACTTTTTAGTTTGGCTTTGTTTTTCTTTCAATGGTGAACAGATTCAATTCAAACATTTTGGAAGTGCTGAACTGTCAACGTGTACCTGAAATATTGTGACAACCTTAAGCAGGCTTTTTACTACTAAACTTTCTCAATGTGTGGTTTCTTCTCCCCCTGACTTTTCCCCCCCTAGCCTAAAATGGTTGTAACAGCATCATTTGGCATTGAACCTGGAAGAAAAGTCGAATATATACCACTTCTTGAAGAAGCACTGAGGATAGGAAAACATAAGCCAGACAAAGTTCTCATCTATAATCGTCCAAACATGGTAAACTGAATGCTATTATTGTTTACTGTAATGTGCTGGATGATTCTAATTTTCACTATTCTAAAAGCCACTTGATTTATAAATGTCATTTTTATTCTTCTCCTACTAAATTCTATTACCTAAAAAAAATTTTAAAAAAACCAACAAAACACCAAACTCCAAAAACCTGATGTAATTTGGTTTTTGGTGTCTTTCTAAACAACTGGTTTAAAACATAAAGACTGAGATAGAGAAGGAAGTCTGTGTTTCCTGGTATAGTGTTAAAAAGAGCTCTGATCAAAACCTTAGAGAAGATTTCTCCTCTGTCCTATAGGATCACTAGGCTTTAGAATCAGCTTGGAGGCAATGGGTATTGCTTTGTGGTATATTAATAGCTACACATAGGGTTATTGTAATATGTAACATTTGTTCTTTAAATTATAACAACAATAATAATATTGAATACTAATTTAATACTGTATGAAAGATGGGAATCCTCCTCTCATGTGAATTATTGCCCCTGAAAACCCACTGGAGGGTCAGATATGAATTGGTTCCAACTTGATAGCACTTAACAATGATAAAAATGTAAGATTTTTAAGGCTCTCTGCTATTGGTGCGCTAACTCATTCATTGTCATTGAGTTGAACCAACTCAAAGCTGGACTACTGACTACTACTCAGTGGATTACTGAGGGTGTAATAACACAGGAAGAGTGTTCCTATCATTTTCAGCAACTGGTGAATTTAAACTGCTAGAGAGGTCCATGGTATAGGCCATCAGAGTGCCCTAATGGTGAGCTAGGTAATATAATAATAATAATATTGCATTAAAGTGGAAACCAGTGATGGAGAGCTAAAATAAGTTAGTAAAGAACACAGCTATAACTGCCAGGATCATGATTTGAATACATACAATTCAATTGCAGACTTAATTCCACAGTAAATGCTGTTTCCTGGTGAGATCTAATTAATATGTATGTTGTTGTTGTTGTTGTT